CAGCAAATGCTCTGCTCTGTGGCATCTCGATGGTCCCTCATTCCCCTCCCCACCCTTCTTGAGACAGGGGCTCTGACTGAACCCGAGGCTCACCCATTAGGCTACAGTGGCTGTTGAGAGAGCCCAAACATCTCCTTTCCCTGCCTCCTCAATGCTAGGGTTACAAGAGTTTACCACTGTGCCCAGCTTTTTGCACAGATTCTGGGGGTCAAACTTAGATAAGATTGACTTATCTCTCCAGACCCCTTCATGTTTTCCAGACAGGGTCTTGCTATATAGCCCAGGCTGACCCAGAGTTGTCTGTGCTCCTCCTGAAAGCCAGAATGTTCACTGTGGGATTCAGCAGACATCTAGCCCTCTCCATTTCTCTGAAGACCTTTCTCTATAGATTGCTCACAGTCCTAAGCTCTTTTTCCCCCTACCACCATTGCCTCTCTCGGTTCAGAATTCCTGGGGAAAACTGGGCCCTGCGACGAGGGTTCAGGACCACGGACAGGGAGCAGAACCATTAACTGCAGAATAACACTACTTCAATACTGGTGCCTTGCCAAGGATTCTTCTAAATTATTTACATTTATTAACTTATTTTCTGTATTTTTTAGGGTTTAATGGTTCTTGCTATGTATACCAGGTTGGCCTGCAACTTCAGCCTGCTCACCTCATCCTACATGTTCACGAACTTCATTAGCTACACCTTTCTGCCTACAGAGGCTGGAAAACTAGCATATTCTCAGGCTGCTGTCCATCTAGGCTCTGCCTTACATCTGATTTCTCCAATCAGGTGCTTTTTTTTTTTTTTTTTTTTTTTGGAGCTGAGGATTGAACATAGGGCCTTGCGCTTGCTAGGCAAGCGCTCTACCACTGAGCTAAATCCCCAACCCCCAATCAGGTGCTCTTATACAAGGTGTGAATGAGGAGCCTGAAGAAAGCCACACATCAGTTTTCAGATCAGCCATTTTTTCCTTCCTCCTCTTGTAAGCTCCTTGGTGGTAGTCCATTACTGTGGCACTTCCTGGCTGATGGGCCTTTCAGGTCATACTGGGGGAAACTAGTTGCTAATGAAGCAGTCAGCATCCTGGCCTTAGGAAGAAATGGATCCCCTGGAGGCTCCATGTCTGTAGCGGGGCTCTTGGAGTCATTGCGTTTGAATGGTCAATGTGGAAGCCACTTCTTCAGCTTTCTCGACATTTTTCTAAGCCACTGGACACCTTATGATAGATTGTTTTCTGCGATAATCAACTACGTGAGCATGGCAGCACATGTGTGTAAACCCTTGGGAACCTTGGGGGCGGGCTGAAGCAAGATGGTCGTCAGTTCACAGCTAGCCTGGGCTACATAGCCAGGCGCTGCCTCAAGAAAGCAAAACAAAATGAACTGAATCTCTTTCCTCCCTCCGTCCTTCCCTCTCTGGTCTCATGTAGCCTAGGCTAACCTGGAACTCACCTCATGGCTGAGGCTGGCCTTATACTTCTGATTTTCCTGCCCCTGCCTCCCAGTGCCTCTTTTTCTTCTAGTTTCTCTTCCATTCTGCTCTAGGTCCGGGAATCGAGCCCCTCTGTCTGCGAGTTGTCATCCAGTTGGGTTCAAGTGACACAAGAATGGAGAAGAGGAGAGATATAGAGCAGGCCCACTTCCTGCTGGGCCAGGGGCTGGCTGCCAGGTGCACACTTCAGAATCTGTTCTCAGAACTGAAAAGGACCAGCCCACATCCCTTCCAAGACCCCAGTGGCTCTGGCCGGAGCTGCCCTTGGGCTTTGTTGCTATCCATCAACCTTGCCCCACATCTGTACATTGTTGCTTAAGTCCATCAACACCCCTACTGATGGTGGTGACGGCTCAGTGACCTGCCACCGATATGTAGCATCTCTGGCCTATATTGGTTGCTGCAACAGATTGCCGTAGGCTTGATGGCTTTTAACCACTCAAAAACAAACAAACAAACAAACAAACAAACAAACAAACAAACAAGCTTCTAACAAGAGATGAATGCATTAGCACAGGGTCCCAAGGCCTCCATGTACAACAAGATGCTACATGACATTGAAAAGGAAGGATAGTCTGGCATTTCTACACTGTGGATGAACTTTGGAGACATTATAGGTGGTAAGTAAGTGACTCTAAGAGCCTATCTTTTATCTTTAGAGATGGAGTGCACCTGGACCAGCATCCACACCCCATGTCACAGCCCTGTGTGCTTATGTTATTCAGAGTAACACACTCCCATCGCTAGGGCAGAGGGACCCGTGGAGACCATGTTCACACTCCACACACCTGTCACAATGTGGCCCATGGGACAAAGTGTCAGCTGCCACTGTGGCTGTCCCCAGGAACCCTTACAACTGCTCTCATGCCTCACTGACTCTTGCAGGCATCTCCAGTATCTTCCTGCTTCTCAGTTACAGCAGTTATTAGCTCTGCCTCAGTGACATTGCTCAACATGCAGAGGAGGAAGCTGGGAATTAGCGCATCACAGGGAAAATGTTTTGATCTTTGCACCCGATGAAGACAAGATTCCTTTGTCCCATGTGCCTTCAATGGTACTGGTGAGGATGTAGAGGCTTTGAGAGGCTGTGGTGTGGTCTCTCTGTGAAAATGGTTCTGCACAGCTGCCCCAGGGGGTTAGGGGAGTTGGTTCTCTCCCTCTACCACCGGGATCCCTGGGACTGAAGCCTTCAGGTTGGACTTTTACCCTTCAGAATTAGCTGTGTAGACTGGCTTCCAATTAAAAGAGATCCACCTGCGTCTACCTCCCAAGTTGTGGGATTGAAGGCGTGGGTCACCACCACCACCCATTTCTTTTTTACATCTAGTAGTAGTAACAGTAGTGTGTGTGTGTGTGTGTGTGTGTGTGTGTGTGTGTGTGTGTGCTGTGTACTTTGGCCAACAAGCAAATGTGAAGGTGAGAGGACCACGTTCAGGAGTCTCTTCTCTCCTCCCACCATGCGGGCTTCCAGACTAAACTTACATCAGGGCATCAGGCTGCTGGCAAGTGCCTTTACCCACAGAGCCACCTGGTCAGCCTGGAAAGGCTGGCTCCTGAAAAGACATTTTAGAGTCAAAATGGCAAGGACCAGGGAAATGGCTCAGTGCATAAACTGTTTGCCACTCAAGTGTGAGGACTGAGTTTGGATGCCCAGAACACATGTGAAAGCCGGGTGGGCATTGGTGGCCAGCCTGTGACCATGGCACTCAAAGGTGGAGAGAGGGGATCCCCAGGACAAGCTGTCTATCTGAAACAGTGAGAGACCCCACCTCAATAAACAAAGTGGAGAGAGATTGAGGAAGACACCTGATGGCCACTTACATCCTCCAGATGAACACACATGTCCATGTGCACCTGCATACATGTGCACCTGTGCAAGCATGAGCACAGACACACACACACACACACACACATACATACACACACACACACACACACACACACACACACACACACACACACACGAACAGGAGAAATCACTACATCACATTTGGATGACACTCAGGCCTACGCCACATGAGACACAGACGAGGAGGGGTTGAAGACAGGAGGGGTCTAAGATGCTCCTAGTGGAAGACATTTTCAGAAGAAACCGTCGGCACATGTGAGCACTGTTTTCAGTACCACTTTGTAGACGGTAGATAAACATTTGGGGGGAGGGGCACAGGGTCTCATGTAGCCCAGGCTGACCACAAGGTCAATGAGTAGACAAGGATAACCCTGAACTGACCCTCCTGCCTCTACCTCCTGAGTGCAGGGATTCCAGGCATGGACTATCACAAATGCACAAATGTACATCCATAATTGAAACCTCTGGTCTCTCTGGTAGTTCTGAGATGCCCACCTATATGAGAGGTCAGGGTGGTAAACAGCACGTGCTGCAGACGTCCATGGGTAAGGCCCATTATGAATGGGGCTGAGGATGTGACTCAGTGGGCTAGTTCTTGCCTAGCATGCATGAAGCTGTGGGTCCCATCCCCAGCACTGAATAAAACCAGATGTGGCCGGGTGGTGGCTGCACATGCCTTGAACCCCAGCATGCAGGTGGATAAGGAGTTAAAGGACACCCACAGTAGCCGGGCGGTGGTGGCGCACGCCTTTAATCCCAGCACTCGGGAGGCAGAGGCAGGCGGATCTCTGTGAGTTCGAGGCCAGCCTGGACTACCAAGTGAGTTCCAGGAAAGGCGCAAAGCTACACAGCGAAACCCTGCCTCGAAAAAAACAAAAAAAAAAAAAAAAAAAGGACACCCACAGCTACATGGTAAGTTTGAGGCCAGCCTGAGCGGCAGGAGACTGTGTGTCATCGTGAAACCTTGTCTTTGGGAATGGAGTGCTGAGTCACCTCTCTGAGCAGCACTTTTTTGTCTTCACGCAGGTTCCAGAAGAGGAGATGGCAGAGTGCAGAGGACTTTAGCCACCAGGTGTTTTTGGTGAAGCAGGAGGGGCTATTGTTAGAACCTAGAACAAGAGTGTGTGCCTGCAACCTTGCATTCCAGAGGGGAAATGGGAGAAACAGGAGCTTGAGGCCGTCAGACTACATAGCAAATTGGAGGCCAGCCTGGGCTACCAGAAGCCCTGTCTCAACAGCCAAAACAAAGGAGAGCATAGAGAAGCCCACTGCCAACACCTGCAACCACAGAGAAGAGACTTTCCCAGAACAACCCAGGAGTAGTCCCAGAGGAACAATTTGCTCCCCACTCAGAGGCAGAAAGCAGTAGCCCAGGCTAGACCCCAGAGCTCAAGGCAAGCAGGAGTGTCCCTGCAGAGCCCTTTGCCATGACAGCAGAAGAAAGAACTGATGCCCAGACTCACAAGACACAACACAAAGGTCTCTTCTCACTGTGTATTTGCAGAATGTTTACAAAGAGTAGAAAAATAGACATTTTGTGGGGTCTGAGTCTGAGAACCCACACACATCAATAAATACTTTACAAGCCATGGGTGGCTATAAATTAAGGCGGGGGCTTTGTGCGTCCACATGGTGCAGAATTCCAGCAGCTGGCAGGAGGGTCTGAGGTCAGACACACTGATCTCCACTGGCCACACACTTCAGGTCCCGGGTGAGCAGGCGGAAGAGGTTGAAAGTGACAGAGGCCTCCAGGCAGCCGGGGGTCTCCTGAAAGGACAGGGCTGGCTCAGGGGCTGCCGGGACTCAGGGCTCCCAGGCTCTGCAGACCCCAGTCCCCTCCCCAGACTCACCTTCCTCTGGGCCTCCTGGAGCCTGTGCAGCCAGCGTGAGAGGCGGCGGCTCAGAGGCCTGGGCTCTGCTGTGGGCTCAGGCTGCACCTGTGGACAGAGGAGGGGACTGTGAGCCTGCTGCTGGGACACAGGGGAAGCCCAGGTGGCTGGAGGGACGATGTGGAGGAGCCGGGGACCCAAGACTCACACAGGCCCGCAGCTGTGAGTGGATGTGGCGCAGGGTGTGAAGAGGCTGGTCCAGGATGGGGACCAGGGCTGAGTCAGTCATGTTCTCTAGGACCTTCAGTGTCAGGGCCAGCTCAGCCTGCAAGGCCTTGGGGCGCTCCTGGACCTGAGCAAGGAGACAGGAGAGAGAACCGGTGAGGGACCCGGGGGGAAGTCAAGGGAGACAGGCGAAGGGGACAGTGGACAGGGACAGCGAGAGGTAGAGGGCAGGGGACAGATGAGGGGACGGACGACCATAGTCAATGCGGTCAGGTTGTGGACAGGTCATGGACCGCTAGTGAGGGGGAGAAGGGAAGAGTGGCGGCCACACGGCACCCAGATGAGGGCTGCTGAGGGCAGGCTGTGTCCAGCCCCGGCTCACCTGCAGCTGCTGCAGGTCCCAGGCCCTGGGGAAGAGGCGGGAGCTGCACCTGACCTCCTTCTTGAGCAACCACTCCTCCTGGAGAGCAGAGACACAGCCTAGCTCAGATGGGATGGTGAAGGTTAGACCACCGCTGTGGGGCTGGGGTGAGTCACAACAGGAAAAGGGAAGTTCACTGCCAGAAAGACAGAGGCTCCTCCATGGCAGCAGATACCAGACAGCCACTGCACTAAGAGCAGGAGATAGCCCAGTTCCGGAAGGGTGGAGGTCATCCTACTGTGGGTTAGCTCACTGAAGGAAGGGTGGAAATCAACCCACTGCAGGACTGGGGCGGCTTAGAATACCACAGAAAGGGTAGGTTTTCTGTCCCCACCCAACAAGGATGGATTTGAAGCCCACTGTAGCAGGGGTGACAGTCAGCCTACCGCAGGTAGGGCTGAGGTTAGCCCACTTGAGCAAGAGCTGAAGTCAGTCCACTGCAGAAGTGTGGAGACCACTCTCATACCAGGTAGCATAAGGGGTGAAGCCCAGAAAGGGAGGGGTGGAGGCTAGCCCACACAGGAGGGCAGAGGGCGACTCACTATGGCATCCTTGGCCTTCTTGAAGGCCTGCAGCACTTGCGGGGACAGAGACTTGAACCGGGCTCTGTGGCAATCCTTGGCATCTGGTGGGAGCCTGGTCGCCCTGGGCACAGGATCAGCGCGGGTTCCCGTCAGCACCGCGGCCAGCAGCAGCAGCAGGAGGAGCACGCGGCCCCCAGCTGGTTCTGGGTCCCAGAAGGACAGAGTGAGTGCTGGAGGGTGGGGGCTGTGCGGACACGCCCCCGCGCACCGATCCGGGGACTCACCTGCCTTCATGCTGCTCTCTGGGGTCTGTGAGGAGATGGGGATTCGGGTGTGCTCTCGAGGCTGGCCCCCGGTTCCTCGGTCTCGCTCGGTGTCTCTGGCCTGGGTCTTCCCCTGTGGCTCTCAGCCTGTTGCTCTGTTCCGACGGGGTCCACCGCGCTCCGAGTGTGAGTGCACTGCCATCGCAGCTCCATGCTTTTAACCTGGCCTCGTGGGCAGCCCCAGCTGATGTAGGAAAAGTGAAAACAAGGCTGGAGATTGACACCAGCCACCAGGGGAGCCCAGACTGGGGAAGCCCAGAGCAGGGCGGGGCTAGAGCAGGTGAGACACTATAGTGAAAAAGAAAGTGACAAGGACTCAGGTCACCTGGGGCAAGGTGAGTCAGGAGAGTTCCCACAGGAGGCTCAGAACAAGGGCAGCAGCTTCAGGACACAGGCCTCAGACCTGGGTGAGGTCCTGCGGCAGATCTCTGGGTACAGCGATGATACAGGTCTAGAAAGTCCTGCCTTCCTCTAAGTGTTCCATCAGGGAGTGAGCAGATCCCCAAGAGCTGCCCAGGAGAAGGAACACTGATTTTCCTGCATGCCTGGGAGATTCAGAAACAGAATCCCCAAGATCCCACTTCCTGTGGGAGGGAAGCATGCAGGTGGCCAAACGTACCCTGAAGTACACTCTGTTATTCTTTTTAGGCCATCAAAATGTTAGACATCCACCGTTTGGGTTGATGCGCTCCCTGGGTTCTGTCCCTACCCATCCCTCTTCCCTTCTACCTCTATAGTTTTCAAATTTCCTGTCACATGTGTTCTCTTGCCCCTCCCTCCCCCTTCCTCCCACAAAACTTCATTTTCCCCCTCAAGGTCCGCTTTCTAGTTTCATGATGCTTGCTAGGCTCCCGTGGGAGGGAATGTGAGGTGTCTGTTTTTCTGAGTCTGCATTACCTCACTTTACTGTGATAATATCCTGTCCATCCATTTCCCTGAACTTTTTGGAGTTTCTTTTTTTTTTTTTACATGGCTGAGTGAAATCCCGTCATAGATGTTTTCCACTTTTTTCATTATTTGTTCATCTGTGGCGAACAGCTTGGGTGGTCTCCTTTTTTGATTTTGTGACTAGAGCAGCTAAAATCATGGCTATACAGACATCTCTGTGGTGGGACTGAGAGCCTTTCGGGTTTTGTCCCGGTGTGGTAGATCTGGGGCCTCTGGTTGTTCCCTTTTCTATTTTGTTTTGTTTGATGTTTTATTTTTGTTTTGTTGGTTTTTTGAGACAGGGTTTCTCTGTGTAGCTTTGGAGCCTCTCCTGGAACTCACTCTGTAGACCAGGCCGGCCTCCGACTCACAGAGATCCTCCTGCCTCTGCCTCCCGAGTGCTGTGATCAAAGGCGTGCGTCACCCTGTCCAGAGCACTTTTTTTAAAAACCTCTATACTGGCTCTTACTGTGGTTGCACCAGCTCACACCCTCTATCAGGAGAGATAGCAGATAAGGGTTCCCCTTCCCCAACATTTGCCATTTGTTTTCTTGTTGATACCCCTTCTGACTGGGGTGAGATGGACTCTCAGAGTAGTTTCAATGTGTATTCCACTGATGACTAAGGATATCAAACGCTTAAAATGTTTATTCTTTTGCATTTATTTATTTTTTTAAAGATTTATTTATTATGTATACAGAGTTCTGCCTGCACACCAGAAGAGGGCACCAGATCTCATTACAGATGATTGTGAGCCACCATGTGGGTGCTGAGAATAGAACTCAGGACCTCTGGAAGAGCAGTCGGTGAGTGCCCTTAACCTCTGAGCCATCTCTCCAGCCCTCATTTGCATTTATTTGTATTTTTTCTTTTTCAGAACTGTTTAGTTAGTTCATCGGATCATTGATTGATTGGCAGGTGTTTTTTGCTTGTTTATTGGTTGTTCAAGTCCACCTCACTAGGTAGCCCTGGCTGGCTTGGAACTCTCTGCGTAGACCAGACTGGCCTTGAACTCAGAAATCTACCTTCCTTTGCCTCCTGAGTGCTGGGATTAAAGGCGTGTATTAGCACACTCAGCCAGTTGTGGTTTGTTTTTTGTTTGTTTGTTTGTTTTCCCTCCAAGATAGGCTTTCTCTGTGTAGCCCTGGCTGTCCTGGAACTCACTCTGCAGACCAAGCTGGCCTTGAACTCACAGAGATCCACCTGCCTCTGCCTCCTGAGTGCTGGGATTCAAGTGCTGGGTTTGCAATCCTTTAGACGATGTAGATATTAGTTCCTGTCTGACGTATGGCTGACAGGGATTTTCTCTCATTCTGTAAGCCCATATCTACACTCTGTTGCAAGTTTCCATACTGTGCAGAAACTCTTCACTTTCATTTATTTATTTGTGTCTGTCTGTCTGTCTGTCTGTGTGTGCAAGTGTCTGCTGGTATTTATCTAGCAGTTTCAGGATGTCAGGTTTCAAGTTAAGGTCTTCAGTCCACTTTCGATTGATCTATGTGCAGGGTGAAAGACATGCATCTAGTTTCTCTCACGAGTGTGGATCCAGCTTTGCCAGCATCAAATGTCAGGCATTTTCTTTTTCCTATGTACTTTTTTTTTTAAGATTCTCTGTGTGTGGATGTTTTGCCTACATGTATATATGTGTACCATGTTTGTGACTGGTGGGACATCGGAACCCTTGGGATTGGAGTTCCAGGTGGTTGTGAGCCACCATGTGGGTGCTGGGAATTGAACCTAGATCTTCTGGAAGAGCAGCCAGTGCTCTTATCTGCCGAACAATCTCTTCAGCTCCCAATGTATGTTTTCTATGACTTTGATAAAAGTGTGTGCACTTAGCTATTCAGATTTGTCTTAGTCAATGTTCTATTGCTGTGAACAGACATCATGACGACAGCAACTCTTACAGAGGAAGACACTTAATTGGGGCTGGCTTACAGTTTCAGAGGTTTAGTCCATTGTCATCATTGGTGGGAAACATGGTAACACGCATGCAGACGTGATGTGTTGTGGAACAATCTTTTTGTACACTGTGAAGATGTGTTGCTCTCATTGGTTTAATAAAGAGATAAATGGGAGTTCGTGCAGTGGCGGCCGAGGCGGCGTAGCTCCGTGACGGGTTCGGCCTCGCATGCGCAGCCACGATGCCCAAGAGGAAAGTTAGCGCGGACGAGCAGTGAAGGCGGAGCCCAAGCGGCGCTCCCGGAGGCTGTGGGCCAAGCCCGCCCCTGCCAAGGTGGACGCGAAGCCGAAGAAGGCCGCGGGAAAGGATAAACCATCGGACAAAAAAGTGCAAACCAAAGGGAAGAGGGGAGCAAAGGGCAAACAGGCGGAGGTGGCTGACCAGCAGACCACAGACGTGCCTGCAGAAAACGGAGAGGCTGAGAACCAGAGTCCAGCCTCTAAAGTAGAAGAGAAAGAAGCCAAGTCCGACTAACCATCCATCGTGTCTGTCAGTGTCCCCGCCTCCCTTCTTGTACAATCCAGAGGAACATTTTTATCAACTATTTTGTAAATGCGAGTTTTTTAGTAGCTCTAGAAACATTTTTAAAAGGTGGGAAGAAGTCCCGCCTCATCCCATTTTTTAAGTGTAAATTATTTTTTTAAGAGGTTAAATCACTTGCTGGTTGTTTATTTTTTGGTACAACCAGAAAAGAGCAGGATACTGCATCAGGAGAGGCTGTGACTGTCTCGGGGGTCACCCTAACATTCCGTAGAGGGGGCTAGTTTTATATCCTACAACACAAAGCATACTTGGAGTCTTGGTCGTGCATTTGTGTCTGGAATATTTTCAGTTATTTCTGGTCTCGTGTTTCTAGTAGAACTGTATCCTAAAAAACCACTCCTCGGTCCTTGCCCTGTCAAACTGTCTCTGGTCACGGCAGTCCATTTTCCTAACAATTGTGATAATGTGCTGTAAAAGATTGAAATTTTGAGTATGTATTGTATGTGGCATAAAATTGTGAGTCAGTGGAATTAATGATTGTGAGCATTTGATTGTTATGTGAGGTCTTAGGGAAAACTTGCCAAGCTTAGGATGGAACACCACTGGAATAAGTTCAAAGAGAAACAACACGTGGCTCTTCTGGGTACGTGAACAGAGTGTATGACTCTTACAGTTTGGGTCCATGTTTCAAAAATCGAAATGACTGTGTACTCAACCAATAAAGTCTCAGTTGTGAAAGAGTTAAAAAAAAAAGAGAGAGAGATAAATGGCCAATAGCTAGGCAGGAAGAGGTTAGGTGGGACTTTTGGACAGGGAGAATGCTCTCTGGGATAAAGAAGATCGAGTCAACAGTCAGACACAGGGGAAGCAGGAAGTGTACAAGAAGATAAGGTAACAAGCCATGAGCCACGTGTTAATACATAGATTATAAAATATGGGCTAATTTAAGTTGTATGAGCTAGTTAGTAACAAGCCCAAGCCATCAGCTGCATTTTATAATTAATAGAAGTCTCCATGCAGTTATTTGGGATCTGGCTGGCAGGACAGAAAATTCCACCCACAGTGCTGGAGAAGGCGCTGAGAGTTCTCCAACTGGATCCTCAGGCAGCAGGAAGAGAGAGAGACACTGGTCCTGGCTTGAGCATCTGAGACACCGAAGCCCACCCCCATGGCACACTTCCTTCCACAAGAGCACACCTCCAACAGTGCCACTCCCTGGTGGACCAAGCCTCCAAATCTATGAGCCTGTGGGGGCCATTTGTATTCAAACCACCACAAGGTTGATTTCTGTGTCCTCTGTCCTGTTCCACTGACCTACACATCTGGGTTTGGTGACAGCACCATGCTGTCTCTGTCACTACAGCTCTTTGTATAATGTGAGGAGGTCAGGTATTGGATACCCCCAGCAGTGTTCTTTCTGCTCAGGACTGCTTCGACTCTTCGTGGTCTTTCCTGTTTCCATTTGAATTTTAGGATTGTTTTTTCTAGTTCTGTGAAGAACATCATTGATTTGTTTGTTTGTTTTTGTTTTACTTTGTTTTGTTTTACAAGACAAGGTTTCTCTGTGTAACTCTGGCTGTCCTGGAACTCACTCTGTA